AATTATTTTTCCAAATGTGTTCATACACACACACACACACACACACACACACACGCACACTGTGTTACTCTATATTTGGTAAGCATTTTTAATTACCCATGAGGCATATTGTATTTTACTACATGGGATAACTTTAATATATCTGTCTTTCCTAGAAGCTATTAAAAAATTAGAGGACATTCTCAATTTTGTATTGCCTTATTTGATATACATATATAATCATCTAATGATGTATCTCATTTAGGTCGCTTCCTTGCTAAAGACCAGGGTATTTACTAACCCTGTTGGAGAACTTGTGAACATGAATCGCAGGGAAAATCAGTGTGCAGAGTATGATATTTTCAACATTTGGAATTTTCCACAAGGCCTTGGAATAAAAGTGAAAATAGGAAGCTATTTTCCTTGTTTCCCACAGAGTCAACAACTTCACATATATGAAGACTTGGAGTGGGCCACAGGAGGAACATCAGTGGGTATACCACAAATTTCATTGTTTGAAGTATATCTAAATTTTAAAATATGAGGTATCAAAGGTGTAGCTGTGTGGTTAAGACCAATTGCTGCTCTTGCAAAAGGTCCTTCCACAGTTACCAACATCAAAATTTGATAACCCACAACTTCATATAAATCTAGATCATAAGGATCAAAGGCCTTTGATTACTTGTTCAAAGGCACCCACATGACTACTCATCCCAGAACACAGGAACACATTTATAAAATTTAAAGATATTTATGTACATATATATATACATATATGTATATATGTAAACATATATACATATATATTTATATATATACATATATATAATTAACTTAATTTTATTACTATATATACAAGTTTTTTTTCAGAATTACTAATATAATGTTTTTTTCCATTTTATTAATTATTTTATTTATTTATATTTCAAATGCTGTGCCACTTCCTGGTCCCCACTCCATGAGCACCCTACCCTATCTGCCTCCCCTTCATCTCTAAGAATGTGCTTCCCCACCATCCAATTTACTCCCACCTCACCTCTCTAGCATCAACCGTCACTGGGGCATCAAGCCCCCACAGAACCAAGTGCATCTTCTCCCACTGAGGCCAGACATGTCAGTCCTCTGCTACATATGTAGTGGGGACCATGGACCAGCCCATGTATGTTCCTTTGTTGGTGGTTCCATCTCTGGGAGCTCTGAGAGGTCCAATTAGTTGATACTGTTGTTCTTCCTATAGGGTTGCAATCCCTTTCAACTCCTTCAGTCCTTACCCTAACTCTTCCATAGGGGTTCCCTGGCTCAGTCCAATGGTTGGCTGTAAGTACCTTCATCTGTCTTAGTCAGAAACTGTGTAGAGTCTCTCAGAGGACATCCATTCCAGGCTCCTGACTGCAAGCACAACATGGCATCAGCAGTAGTGTCAGGGTTTGATGTCTGGATGGGATGGATCCCAAGGTCTGGCGGTCGCTGGATGACCTTTCCTTCAGTCTTTGCTCCATTTTTGTCCCTGTTTTTCCTTTAGACAGGAACAATTCTGGGTCAAAAATTTTGAGATGGGTGGGTGTTCCCATCTCTCAACTAGGGGTGGGGCATGTCTACTGGAGGTAGTCTCTCAGGTTCCATCTCCCACTGTTGGGTGTTTTCACTAGTGTCATCCTCATTGAATCCTGGGAGCCTTTCACAACCCTGGTGCCCGGGACTTCCTAGAGGTTCCCTCCACCTCCACACCCCACTGCTACATATTTCCATTCATTCTCCTGGCTCTCTGGGCTCTTTCCTGTTTCCCCTCATATTTGATTCTGCCCCCATTTTATCTCCCCCTACCCTATCCCACCCAGGTTCCTCTCTCCCTCTGTCTTCCATGATTATTTTGTTCCCTTTTCTAAGTGGGATTGAACCATCCACACTTGGGCCTTCCTTCTTGTTATGGTTCATGTGCTCTGTGAGTTGAATGATGGGTATTCTGAACTTTTGGATAAAATCTACTTAACAATGCCATATATGTCATTTTAGTTCTGGGTTGCCTTACTTGGGATGATATTTTATAGTTCCATCTATTTGCTTGCAAAATTTATGATGTCATTATTTTTAATAGCTGAGTAGTATTTCCATGTAAATGGTCCATCCTCAGTTACCAGCATGAAAAGTTGATAACTCACAACTTCTCGTGAATCTGGGTCATAGGGGTTTAAGGTATCTGGATTTCATGCTCAAATCTACCTACAAATCTATTCACCCCACAATACAGAAACACATTTATGAAATTTAAAATATGTGTATATTTATAATAAAAATTTTGTAACTACACATAAACCATAAAATTCTGTGATATTCTTTGAACATCATTATAGACTAATAAAGTATAGCAAATAGTCATTATTTCCACATTCCTGGCTTTGTTTTAAACTTAGAAAATCTTTAACTCTATGAGAATCTTATGACATGGTTTATTCCTATTCATCAAAGAACTTTTTCTTGATCTGCCCTAACTTTTCTCCCCACACAACTCAGTATCCTTGTTATTTTATTTATAAGTCATTTGAGAGAAATTGATGGCACATAAATGTTCTGTTTCCATGTAATCACTTTAGAAAGGAAAAATTTAAAATCTGTACAACACAATTGTTACACATTTAATATTACATGATGTAATAAATGTTGTGTTACATTCAGGACATTGGAGGCTTACACACAATAATAAAAAACCTGAAATTTATAATTTATATGTGATTTATCAGAGGAATAAATATAGTGATATCTGTTAAATATATAAATAAATATATATCAAAAATTATGTAACTACATATAAATCAAAAAATTTTGTTACAAATGTATGTAAATATATACATGTGCATATATATATATACACACACACGCACATATATACTTGATGAATACATAAATTATCATATATATCCTCAGGTTCCCACCTCCATGTGTAGTGTGGCATGCACTGCTGGATTCAGGAAAATTTATCAGAAACAAAGAGCAGACTGCTGCTTTGATTGTGCCCATTGCCCAGAAAATGAAGTTTCCAATGAGACAGGTACATGCTTCCATGCAGAAAAAAATTGCTGAATTTGAGTATCTTCTCTTTCCAAAGTAGAAATGTAAAATGGCCTAGATGGAAATAAAAGACCTAAAATCTGTGAGTTTCAGAATTTAATCTTTTAAATGGTATCAACATTTTGGGACCCTGCCAATAACCTGCAATATCTTATACAAACTTGTTTTTCTCACAATATGACGGTTGGTGATCTTATATTTTACAGAAAACTTTTAGGGGGAAAAACAATTGTAACCATTTAATTTTTATATTATTCCCCTCACATTGGCACTTCTGTTTGAGACTAGGTGCTACCACTCCCACTGAGTCCAGACAAGGCTACCCAGATAGAAATATATATCCCACATACAGGCATCAGCTTTTGGAATAGCCCCCTGCTCTAGGTGTTCAGGGCCCACATGAAGACTGAGCTGAGTATGTGCTACATATGTGCAGGGAGACCTAGGTCCAGCCCATGTATGTTCTTTGCTTGGAGGTTCTGTCTCCAAGAGCCCTAAGGGTCCAGGTTAGTTGACTCTATTGATCTTCCTGTGGAGATCCTATCCCTTTAGGGGCTTAAATCCTTGCTCTTGTTCTTCCATAATAGTCCCAAAGCACCATCCAATGTTTGACTATTGGTGTCTGCATCTATTTCAGTAAGCTGCTGCATGGAGCCTCGAAGATGATAGCCATGCTAGACTTCTGCCTGCAAGTATAACAGAGTATCATTAATAGTCTCAGGGAATGGTGTTTGCCAATGGGATTGATCTCAAGTTGGGCCTGTTATTGGGTGGCCTTTCCATCAGTCTCTGCTCCATCCCAAATCCCTGCGTTTCTTCTAGACAACTCTACTTGGGCCCTGCATCCATGTTTTTGTCTTGACTTCTTTCAATTAACTGTGACCAAGGTACATAGAGAAATCAACACTTTTCTCATATGTTCCTTTTGATTACAGTGTTTTGTTAAAGCAATAGAATCTAAGACATTAGCAAAATGGTTATATAAGTTTGCTCTCCCACCAGCTATGGAGGAGTGTTCCCCTTGATGTACACTCTTGCCAGCATGTGATTTCTCTTGAGTTTTAAAATTTTTAAATTTATTTTTGTATCTTTTTTATTCACGTTATGCTGTGCTCACTGCCCCCCTACCAGTCAATCCCTCCCACAATCCTTCTCCAGTTCCCCTTATCCTTCTCCTCTGAGTGGGTGGGGTCCCCCTGGGTATCCTTCCCACCTTGGTACTTCAATATGTATGAGGCGAGGTGTTTCCTTTCCCACTGAGCCCAGACAAGACGTTCCAGCTAGTAGAACATATCCCACACAGGTAACAGCTGTTGGGATAGCCCCTGTTCCAGTAGTTTGAGACAAAACATGCAGACAAAGCTGTATATCTGCCACAAATGTGTGGGGAAGCCTAGGTCCAGCCCATGTATTTTCTTTGGTTGGTGGTTCTGACTCTGAGAACTCCTAGGATTTGGTTTAGTTGTCTCTGTTGGTCTTCCTGTGGATTTCCTATCTCCTTTGGGGCCCATAATCCTTCCTCCTGCTCTTTCATAAGAATCTCCAAGCTCCATCTGTTTTTGGCTGTGGATGTTTGTGTCTGTCTGAGCCTGCTGCTGGGTGGTGCCTTTCAGAGGACCTAATTATTCTTTTTTTTTTTTTTTTGGATACCATCTGTCTTTTGGTCTGGCTAGTGTTTGTCTATTTTGCTGATTTTTCTAAAGAACCAGCTTCTGATTTCATTGATTCTTTGTTTCTAATTGATTGATTTCAGCTCTGATTTTGACTGTTTCTTACCTTCTACTGTTTGGTGTGCTTGCTTCTGTTTTCCTAGAGCTTTCAGGTGTACCTTTAAATTGCTGGTATGAGAACGTTCTAATTTTTTTTTACCAAGGTGCTTAGTTCTATGAACTATTCTCTTAGCACTGTTTTCATTGTGTCCTATAAATGTATGCATTTTGTGCCTTCATTTTCAGTGAATTCTAGAAAGTGTTTAATTTCTTTCTTTATTTCTTCACTGACCCAGAGATCATTGAGTAGAGAGTTGTTTAATTTTGATGAGTAGGCAGGCTTTCTGGTGTTTCTGCTGTTGTTGAAGTTCAGCTTTAATCTATGGTAGTAAAAGATACATGGGGTTATTTCAAGTCTCTTGTATCTTTGAGTCCTGTTTTGTGACTGAATATGTGGTCAATTTTAGAAAAGGATCCATGAAGTGTTGAGAAGAAAGTATATTCTTTTGTGTTAGGGTGAAATATTCTATAGATGTCTATTAGGTCCATTTGATTCATAATGCCTGTTAGTTTCATTGTTTTTCTGTTTTGTCTGGATGACCTGTCTGTTGGGTTGCAGTGTGCACGAGACCTGTTGTTGGGTTGAATTGTGGGTCCCACATCTGTCCCCGCAAAGGGCTAGGGCCGTAGCTCGGAGAGGCAGAAGTGTGGGAAGTTTGACTGTGTTCTTCTTAGGCTGGTGCTGGGCAGGTGTTGGGCTATGTGAAGCCATGGGACTCTACTCTGGGGTTGAGAGAACACAGTCTGAGGTCCTGCGTGGAGCCAGAGCTCTTGGCTTGGGGGTCCCTGGGCCAAAAGGCATACAGACTGGTTCTCAGGCTCTTGGGCCCCCAGAAGCTCTTGGGGTTTTCTGGAAAAGCTGAGAATGAAGTGGGGGTGTACGGGCTGGATTTGCCTGCAATCAAAGGGGAGAAGGGGAGAGATGACCTCTGGATGCATCCTGTGAGAATGAGAGTCTCGTTTGTCTGTGTAGTGGCTGCTCGCTTGGCTTGGGTGGCTGAATTGGTAGTCTCCGTGACTCGGAACACAGAGAATTCTTCTGTGGAAGATTAGGTTGTGGCTTTGTAGATGAAGACCTGCTCCACTGTTTCCCATGACGGGTTCCAAAGAAGAGAAACAGTCCATGATCTTAAGTTGCTTATTGTCATGGCTGAAAGTAGATGAAAATTATACCTCAGTTTCCTCAGGGTGGGTCTGATGTTAAATACCTTTTGCAAGGAGGAAGGTCTGGTTAGGAATGTTTAATTGGCTGTGTCCCTCTGGCCTTTAGGTATCTCATTAATATGGAGATCTGTCTTGATGTTCTGTGGCCTGTAGTCATGCCCTCTACCTGTGGAGGGGCTAGTGGGAGTTGTCCTATATGATGAAAGAATCCAAATCTACTGAGATCTGCAGCCTGGTGTCAGGAGGCTGGAGTCTGGGAACATGGTGAAATGTATGCTGTTCCTTAGGGTCACCTGCATCCCACCTGGGACCTCTCAGGATCACCTGGAGTCTCCAACAGTCTCCAGCAGGTATTTGACTAGAAACCAGATTGCCTTTCATGGTCCTATACCTGTCGATTGGTGAGACTGAAATGTTGAAGTTTCCCACTAACAGTTTGTGGAGTTTGGTGTGTGATTTAAGATAACGGTGTTTCATTTACAAATGTGGCTCCCATTGTGTTTCTTCATACTCATCAAAGGAGAAATCTATTAAGATAATATCTCAATTATGGACATCTATACCACGAAACACAATGCATAGATGTCCATAATTGAGATATTATCTTAAAAGATTTCTCCTTTGATGAGTATGAACTGTCTTTCCCTGTCTCTTTTGATTAATTTTGGTTGAATGTCTATTTTATTAGATATTAGAATGACTACTTCAACTTGCTTCTTGGATTCATTGGTTAGGAACACTTTTTTTTCCAACCCTCCTTCTATCTTTATTGCTGAGGCTTTTCTTATATGGAGCAGAATGATGGATCTTATTTTCTATTCCAGTTTTATTGTCTTTTTTTTTCACCTTAAATAGTTGTTTATTTTATTGTCTTTTGATTGGGGAATTGAGTCTACTGATTTTGAGAGCTATTAATGACCAATGATTGTTATTTCCTGTTATTTAGATGCTGATGGTATTAGCGTGTTTGTGTGTGTGTGTGTGTGTGTGTGTGTGTGTGTGTGTATGTGTATATGAGTGTGCGTGTGTTTATGTGTCCATCCCTGAGTTTTGCTGATAGGGAATTACTTATTTTCTGTGTTTTCTTAGCTACACGTATCCCTGTGGGATTGAAGTTTTCTTCTCATATTTTCTGTAGGGCTCAATTTCTGGACAGAAATTGTTTGAATTTGGTTTGTCTTGAAATATCTTGTTTTCTCCATCCCTGGAGACTGAGTTTTGTTGGGGTAGGTTGGCATTTATGGGTTTTTAAGTTGCAAGATATATGTCAAGACATTTCTAGCTTTTAGAGACTCTATTGGGTAGTGTAATTCTGATAGATCTGCCATTGTATGTTCCTGCCCCATTTCCCCTGCTGGTTTTAATACTCCTTTTTTGTTGTTTTGTAGATATTGTCTTTTGATTATCATGTGCAGGGAGGATTTTCTCTCCTGTTCCAGTCTAATTGGTGGTCTATAAGTTTCTCCTATGTTAATAGGAATCTCTTTCTTTAGCTTGGGAAAATTTTCTTCTATAATTTTACTGAAAATGTTATTGGAACTTGAACATGGAACTACTCTTCTTCTATTCCCAGAAGGTCTTTTGCCGGCATCCCAGGTTTCCTGGGTGTTTTGTGTCAGGGATTTTTTATATTTAATATTTTTTGACTGATGTATCAATTTATTCTATTGTATCTTCTATACCTCAGATTCTCTATTTCACCTCCTATATTCTGTTGGATATGCCTGCTTCTGTTGTTCTTGTTCTCTATTCTACGTTTTACATCTCCAGGATTCCTTCAGTTTGTATCTTCTTTATTGCTTGTATTTCCATTTTCATGTAATTAATATATATAATATATATATATATGTATATATATATATATATATATGTAATTAAGGGACTGGTTTTTTTTCTTTAAAGATCTCTACCTATGAGATTATATTTTTCTTTAATTTTTAAGGCATTTATTCCTTTCCTCTTTAACAATTTTTATTATCTTTTTCTCCTAGCTCTATTAATTCATATGCAAATTTAATAATTTTGTATTTAAAGTCTGAGTACTAGTGTATTGTGTAAATGTACACATTTTTCTACTTTTTATTAATTATTTGTTTATTTACATTCGAGACATTTCCCCACCCCAGTCCCCCTTCCTACAGTTCTTTATCCCATATACCTTCCCACTCGCCTCTGAGAGGGTGCTCTCTCTTTCCCTTCATTTTCCTCCTTCCCTGGGGCCTCAAGTCTCCACAGGATTAGGTGCATCCTCTCTAACTGACGCCTGAGAAGGCACTGCCAGAGACTAAGCATATATCATCTTTGTAAGATTTGATTTATGGTAATTTTCTTGTGCTTCAGTTGTGTTGGAATATCCTGGGCTTGCTGTGGAAGGATAGCTATGCTCCAAAAGTGTCATATTGCCCAGGATTTTGTTGATTTTGTTTTTTCAAGAACCTTTAGCCGTCAAGATAAGTTTGGTAACTGGTTAATCGGGGGAGGGGTGGGTAAACCTCTGTGGTCCTGGTGCGGCAGGCTTTTGATGGATATACTTGGGTTGTATGGCTTTGTATCTGTAGGTCTGTATGGTTCAGGATCTACAGGTCTGTATGGTTCAGGATCTACAGGTCTGTATGGTTCAGGAGCTACAGATTCTATGAAGGTGGGCAGAGAGGTTGCAAGAAAATAGATGTCTGCCTGGGGTTGCAGGGTGCTCAGGGCAGCTTGGCTTGCTCCAGAGGACTCAGTAATTAGGGAAGATGGGTGAGAGAAGGGAAGATTACCTGTATGGTTGAGGATCCACAGGTCTGATGAAGGTGGATGGAGAGGTGTGGATAGGGAGATTGGAGATCCCCCAGGGATAGCAGGCTGCTCAGTGTAGCTTGGGTTGTTCCAGAAGACTCAGCAAGCAGGGAAGATGGATGGGGGATGGGAAACTTACTTGCATGGTTCAAGCTCAGCAAATGTGATGAAGATGGGAGGAGAGATGGCAATGGAATCCTGTAAGCATTTTTAACAATACATTTTAAACACAGATTATGCACATGTTTAGACTTCCTTCATTCATCGAACAAAGTACTTTGACTACATGATCAGTCCACAATGTTTCCATTCTATCCTCCAGCTTGGTCTCTGGCCAATGCCAGATGCTCAGGGTAACAATTGTTTAATGAAATATTTTTTAAAAGCTTAGGTGGCTCATGGGATGAAGTATTTGCTGTCAAAGAATTAGAACAAGAGTGGAGAGTTCAGTAACGCACTAAAACATGTGATAGTGCTCATCAGCCCTCAGAGCCCAATAAGGAAAGAGGGATGAGTGTGAATATCCATAATCTTCATGACATCTAGATTGCAGTGTGTAGTTGAGAAAAAGTGACCATACTAAAAGAGGAGAACATGCATTTCTCTGTGAAGTATACAACTTTAATAATGGAAATATTGCTTTATGCGAAGAGTATTTACATGAGTAATTTTATGTTCTTGTGCCCTTTGAAGATACTGAAAAAGGGAACAACCATCAAAGCCAATAAAGTGGACAATGCATTTCATCAGCTGGCATTGAAAACTATATCAGCACACTGCACAGATCTGTGATAGTTAGTTTAAAGTTTCAGCAATTAAATAATATTACTTCATGCATATTATTATTTACAATGAACTAAAAATATTTTCTTTCTTGTTTAACTAATAAGTAATTTTTCTCTTCCTTTTCCTACGATGGTATGTTGTTTCATCACCAAGCATAGGATAATACAGAGCAGCCTTAAGTTACTGGTCCCTACAGCAATAAGGAAAGAAATAAATGTTCAACACCAAAATATTTTGTGAGGTATCCTCTGAGTAATACAAGTACTCAATTATTAAGTACATAATTATGACATCTTATGAAGGTTTGTTTTTCACCAGCAGATATGGAGCAGTGTGTAAGGTGTCCAGATGATAAGTATGCCAACTTACAGCAAACCCACTGCCTGCAAAGAGATATATCATTTCTGGCTTATGAAGATCCAGTGGGGATGGCTCTAGCCTGCATGGCCCTGTGCTTCTCTGCCCTCACGATTCTAGTACTCTTCACTTTTGTGAAGTACAAGGATACTCCCATTGTGAAGGCCAATAACTGCATTCTCAGTTACATCCTCCTCATTTTTCTCATCTTGTGCTTTCTCTGCTCATTGCTCTTCATTGGACATCCCAATCAGGCCACCTGCATCCTGCAGCAGACCACATTTGGAATATTTTTCACAGGGGCTATTTCTACAGTGTTGGCCAAAACTATAACTGTGGTCATGGCTTTCAAGCTCACTATTCCAGGAAATAGGATGAGAGGGATGCTGGCATCAGGGGCACCTAACTTGGTCATTCCAATTTGTATCCTAGTCCAACTTGTTCTCTGTGGAACCTGGTTGGTAACATCTCCTCCCTTCATTGACAGAGATATACAGTCTGAACATGGGAAAGCCATCATTATTTGCAACAAAGGCTCTGTCATTGCTTTCCACTTTGTCCTGGGATACTTGGGCTCCTTGGCTCTGGGGAGCTTCACTGTGGCTTTCTTGGCTAGGAACCTTCCTGACAGATTCAATGAAGCCAAGTTCCTAACTTTCAGCATGTTGGTGTTCTGTAGTGTCTGGATCACCTTCCTCCCTGTCTATCACAGCACTAGGGGGAAGATCATGTTAGTTGTGGAGGTCTTCTCCATCTTGGCTTCTAGTGCAGGGTTGCTAGGGTGTATATTTGTCCCAAAATGTTATGTTATTTTAGTTAAACCAGATTCAAATTTTCTTCAGAAGTACAAAGCTAAATTTCGTTATTGAAACTTTAATAGTTTTAAATGTTAGATGGTACTCAACTTCTTTCTACTTTGTCATAACAAAAGTACTACTAAATCATACAAAAAATTTAAATAATATACTAAGATCTTACTGACACAGCAGGATAACACTGCCTAATGAAATACCAATGATTAAGGCTTGGGGGAAAATGAATTAATTCATGAGATCACAAAACTAAACTTTGAGAACAGGGAATCATAATTGAGGAATGGCTGCCATCATTTTGACATGTGTATTGTATAAGCTATGTTCTTAATTATTGATTAATATAAAGTGACCCTACTGTTTGTTGACAGTTCCACCTCTAGGCAAGTTGTTGTGTGCATGTAAGAAATAGGATTGTAGACAATATAGACATGATGGCAGCAATAAGCATTATGCCATGGACCCTAATTGGACCCTGCATCCATATTCTTGTCTTGGCTTCTTTCAATTAACTGTGACCAAGGTACATAGGGAAATCAACACTTTTCTCATATGTTCCTTTTGACCATGGTGTTTTGTTACAGCAACAGAAACTAAGACATTAGCAAAATGATAAATTGCCTCAGTAGGGATTTGGAATATCATAAATTACTGATAAAACAAAAAGAACCAATTTGAAAAGGAGAGATACGTGTGAATGTTAGTAGAGTGTGGAGCATGGTGACAGCATTGCATATTGTTGATGGCCATCACAGAGGAGCAGGATTTTGAGTAGTTTTACAATGTATTATGAAGATGTTAAGTATAACAGGTAACATATTAAGAAGGGTACAGTAAATGAAAAGGACCCTGGGGTTCAGATTGTGTCTGCAATATAAGGCTCTTGTACTTTATATGAAAACACACCATTTTATTATGAAATTAATGCATTTCATTTAGTGAGAAATATCAATAGTGAGAATAATATCATACACAGTACCTTTATCACAATAAAGTCAGTGAAGTCTGTGAACATGTAATTCACTCTAGATAATGGTCTCATTATACATTTTATTCGAGTAGGAGTAACTATATCTTATTTGAGTTTAATATTACACACACAAACGCAGACACACACAAACACACACATTATTATTTTTGAACATGTGTTGTTGAACTCAGTGTCATTTTCCACTCAAAGTATTGTTTATTGCTTTATTTTTAACGGGTATTTTGTAATTTTTTTACAATATAGTCTGTATTCTTTACATTTCCTTTCTCTAAAATATTCTTTGTACCCCTTCCTGCAATCCTAAAATGCACATGGTCTCTTCTTTAATTAATTGCATGGGTTTATATTCTGATTGCTCATCATTTGGTAATACATGCCTAATCTTTGTTCTCTTTCTTGGCTATGTCAACCACTTACATTCCCTGATTTAAATTTCCTGCAAATGCTTATTCAGGCTAAACATTTGGAAACTTTCTTCCATCAAATTTGATATGCTCACTGTTGTGTTCTTGAGATCATATGTTGGGGGTAGTATTGGTACGACTTCATGGTCTAACTATGCTCTTTCTAGAAGATTTATGTTCACAGGCAAGATCCTCACCTTTTGACTCTTAAGGTCTTTCCCACTATCTTCTTCGCTTTTTCCTGAACATTGGATGAGGTAAAATATTATAAGAGGGTACGTAGCTTGTTTTTAAGTGTACGTGTAGAATTGAAGGAATGTATATGGTGTGAGTCACACTCAGTCTTTGTTCCCTTAACTTTTTCCTCTGGTAGCATGTTGTGTACTTTCTAGCAACTTGAATTCAAGGCATTAGAGGCAATGTTTCTAGTTGGGGACCAGACTACATCTGATGAATTAAGTCAGGATTGTCTTCAGGACTATCTCCTTACCACCAGTTTGTATAGAGGAACAATATCACTCAAGACTTAGAGATCTGTGTGGCAAAACATGTCAATGAATATAAGGGGCCAAGGTGTTGGGTAACTTCAAGGAAACAGTATCATCAAAACACAAAAGAACTAATGATTGCATGAACTCACAGAGAATTTCTCATCATTCATAAGAACTGCACGTGTTCAATTCATATAATATCCCACTACTAAGAAGGAGGCATGGACAACTGCAAATATATTATAAATTAAGAATAGGAGGTGGTATCTTTCAAAGAACATTTTTCTGTTATGTGGAACTTCAATATGATTACCATTCATGTTCTCTATATTGGTGTTATATCACCTGACAAAGAAATTGATGATACAAAACAAAAATATCCACATAAATGCATTATTAAGAAAATAAAAGTAAATCAGTCATGATAGAATACTGTTTGAGCAGCTACTCATGTGGCCTTAGCTGATATTTATAATTACCTTCCTCTAGTACTCATTTTGTAGTTCCTTCATCCTCCTCTACCAGCCCCTCAGCAAGTTGTAAACCTTTTCCTAGAAGAGTGACCCATACTTTTTTTTCTCATGTATCTGTGCCCTTTGTCTCCCTGTCTGGATTAGGCTGTTGCATTTTCCAGTATACTTTAATAAAAACTTTGTAGAACCGATAGATACCCTAAAGGATCTCCTGAACTCCAGATATAAATTGTGTAACGTACTTTGTGGACCCACTCTCATACTTCCTTGACTTTGAAGTAAGTTTGTTGGTCAGATGCAATAGTGTGTTGAATACCATGATAGTGAGTAAAGCACTCTCCAATTGCATATAAGGCATTCTATAATATTGTGGTTTTGGGAGAAGCATTATATGAAGGAAATATAACTCCACAGACAGAAATATATCTGCTCCAGTAAGGATGAAGCATTATCCTTTTAGAGAGGCAGGACTCCAATGTAGTCAACCTGCAACCAAGTCATTGGCAGGTAACCCTGGGGAATGATGACTTGTGAGTGGCTCAGTCTTGGTCTCTCCTGTTGATAGATCTGTGCCTCAAGCCTTCCAGCCTTGTGAGGGTAGTAGCAGGGGCACAGAGTAGGACCCTGGTGATGGCTTTAAAGTCTGAGGGTCTCAGAGCTTTCTGGCTCTCTGACCTGTACTGAAATGCTGATGATAATTTCTAAAAAGTTCTAAAAACTTCTTCTGAGGGTAAAAGACTGCAGGCTTAGGTGATTAACACCTGTTGCCTAACAGCAGAGGATTAGGCAAAGTGGTCTTTGTTCTATTTCAGCCAGAACTGCTAGGCCCTGACTTATGCCTGCTAGTCTGAGGTTACAGGAAGAAAAAGCACTTAGAGAAGTTATTATAGTGTTTATTACTAAGTGTAAAAAGTTTCCTATGAAAGCTGCCTAAGGGGTAAAGTGGAAAGGTCTTAAATGGGGAAAAGGAAAACATTCTAACAAAGGAAAAATTCTAGGTGAAAAAATTCTAAGCAGGAGAAAAGGAAAGGAAGGGACGAATGACTCCTAACGAACCTCTACATCTATGACTACTCTACTCTCCTACTTTGTCTTTGACTTCAGTACTTATACATCTTTCAGAGTACATGATCACATGTTATGAAGTTCATCACAAGTTCACACCAAAATTCAAACTATAAATTGAAATAGAAGTTTACAACAGAGAATGTTTACATGCATATCATTTAGGAGTAATTATCTGGCTAAACACTCACCACCTGTCTAGCTCCACAGGTTCACCAAAGCTTTAAAACTATAACTAAGAAATTAGTGAAGTTTTGTAGAGATAAACCCAGGCAATATTTTATCTTCTGTCCTAGCACCTATAATAAATCATGAGTTTCCTTTTAGTGACCATTGGTCAATTATTTTACAACCTCTTAGAATGTGCTCCGAGCAGGATAAAGTCTGGTTACTATCTAAGGGCAACTAACTGATGACATTTGGGAGACTGGCAGAGTCCCCATTAAAGTTTTGACTATCAGAGAGGGACCTCAGAGCAGTCCCATTATAAAAGAGCTTAATAATCATTGATGTAATTTTAGGAATTCTTATAGTATCATCGTTAAGACTAAGAAGTCATCTATTTGTCTATAGAGCAGCACTACAAGACAATACATCTTATGGAACTGAAGAGATCTGCTCCAAAGAGGTGTGCTATTGCTTAGTGATTGTTGCATATGTTTAATAATAATAATAGTAGTAATAGGAAAAGCATATTAATAGCAGGAATCTTTCCTAAAAATAAGTTCCTCACAGCCTTGTTGAATAAGTCCTCACTTACTGCAGATTATATCATAATCCAAAGCAAGCATTTCAGGATGATCACCTGTTAATTATTAGCTTGTCCCATTGTGGCTCCTGACAGACCTGGCACTCAGCAGCAACTCTTGCCAAGGAATCCTTCTATACCCTCCATGTTTTCAATTTTGATCACTTTTTTTATGGGCAAATTGGAGACTGATAGAGATAGCTTGGGAAAAAAGATGAGAGTACACAGAAAAGATCATCCTACCTACTTGGTTACTGAGCACATCCACACCCAAGGTCATCTCTTGAAGAGGATTTAAATGGAGCACAAGTATTTTCAAATCCTTTGAGCATTTGTGGAGATCTACTCCCCTGATTAATGTTCTATGTATCAGGACACAACCTGTTGTGGACAATGCTATCCTTAGCAATATAGAACTGGACAGCATAAAAAAAAAGCAGGATAAGCAAACCAGCAATTTGTATTCTTTCGTGGTCTCCTTCAGTTCCTCCCTATGTTTCCCCCAAGCCATACTATAACCAGGAAACCAAATGAGCTGTATCATTCCCTAAGTTGCTTTGGTCAGTGTGCTAGCACAGTGACAAAAATTCAACTAGAACATGTTGCTAAACTCAATGCAAATCAAGGACTGTGTCTTAAGCACAAAACAAAACATTTGAAGTATTTTCTTAATGTTTCTTTTTTTTTCATTTTAATGAAAATAAATTGATCAAACAAGGCATGATGGAACATGACAGTAACCAGCCCAATTAGGAGTCTGAAGCAAGAATGAATTATGAGACTTTGTCACAAAAAAAAAAAAGCCACAGTCAGGCTCTGTGGTTCTGGATCTTGTCTGGTATTTGTTATCATCTGTTCCTTTAAAATGAATACAAATATATTTAA